CTCAAATGGCCACCTGAGGCTGGCTTCAGAAGTGAGTCAATCTCCATACGGTGCTATATTAAAATACCCAACTTTACAGCACAAATAAATATGTTTACAGTCCGATACAAAAAATTCTGTGCTGTCACTGGTTGCTGGTTTCCGTAACCAGGCTTCATTTGGCCCACTTCAGCTTCACCATTGCTCTACCTCTTTCCCCTTGGATTGGCCCAGAGCTTCACAACAGAAACATATGGGTAACATCACAGAGACTACGTCCATTTTTTATAATACTATCTATGGTTCTGCACCAAACACAACTTGTGTGTTTATGCTGTGGTATCTTTTTTGGTTGTCTAAAGCTTTCTCGCTCACGCTTCAAATTGTGATACATGTGTGCCGGTATAACTCCAACCATCACAGGGAAAGCATAAAAAAATAAAATAAATAAAAAAATAAGCATTTTCTGTCCAAATGGTAACACCTTACTAACTGCTTGTTATGATAAGATCCCAAAACAGTCTTGGAAACTGCCCCCTTGTTTCCGTGTCTTGCAGCCATCTCATGCTGGGACCAGACCACACAACACCTTGACGGGCTTGTGATCTGCAGTGTCGACTATCATTGCGACATGGAGCCCGTCATAAATGAGTCAATACAAGTCAAGCTAGTCAAAAGTTAAAAATTCAGACATGGTAGCCTTCCCGTCAGCTTCTTTTGAGGCATCCTTAATGTGGAATTTGATGTCATCAGCTATCCACGTCTGTCATTTTTGTAGTCTGATCCTTCAATAAGGGTCAAACAGACTACAACTAGCCAGCTCCAACAACAACTGGACTCCCCTAAAAAAGTTACTGCATTGGCAGGGTTGGTGCAGGGGGTAGCAGGGTGCAGCTACTAACTACTGAAGAGGATTAGTTTATTAGGGCCCGAGCACTGACCGTGCAAAGGCCCTATTGTATCTGTAGGAATTATTATTATTATTATATTACAATTGCCTTTTTGGAGGCTTATCATATTCGAAAAGTCCTGAAACTTTGAAACTCCTGCGCACATGTCAGTCGTGGCAAACTTGGCGAATTTATGGGTCTCGGATATATGCGCGGTAAAATGGCTCGACAGTGCCCCCTATTGAGCAGCTCCAACAGCACGTTTCACCTATGAGTATAAAAAGTGGTATACATGTGAATCATCTCCTGACGTACAAAAAATCCCACCAGGAAGTTGGCCATTTTGGATTTAGCGGCCATTTATGGTGTTGTATTTTAACAGACTTTTTCAGAACTTTGACTGAACATATATACGATATTTCAATTTTATTTGGAAAAGTGGTCAGGCCTGGTGTAACTTAGATATTCTATGTGTCGTTTTTAGGTCGGCCAGAGGAAAAGTGTGTGACTTTTTTGTTTCTTAATAACTCTGCGTCGTTTGTCGCACATTCAAAAACCTTATATCCAGGCGTTCAGTGAATGGAGCTGCATCTCCTCATATAGGCCACGCCCATTTCCGCCTATAATTTATTTTCGCTACAGCGCGAAATGTCCATAAACTACGTTTTTGTGTTCCTCCTATGCGCTTTTGTCCGATTTGCACGAAATCCTTCATGTAGCATCTGGGCACCGCCCTGGCAAAAAAAGTAATTTAAAGTATTTTGATATTTCAAAAAATAAGCACGTTATAAAATTAGCACTTACTGTAGATTTTTTGTCAAAAAAGGAAGTGGAGCATTTCTCCACGTTGGTATGTCCGAGTGACACCAAGCTTGGGTCCATAGTTCACCATGTTTATATCTCTGCATTGGCACGTGTGATTAGAACGAAACTCAGTACAATGATTGCTCATGGCTCCCTGAGGGTCGCTAAAAAAAAAAAATTCAACAATCCGCCACTAGGTCGCGCTCTGGTGGCAGTTTAAATAACAAAGTGGTACTCTGTGTAGACCATAATAGTTATGAATATGAAATTCACAGGGCACGTGTAGACTGGTGCCTGTAGCTCACATACCAAAAATTGTGTTTGTCGCATTTGTAGCGCCCCCTACAGTATTACAGCAAAGCACCACGTTTCACCGATATGTATGAAACTTGGTAGGCACGTGTAACGCACCAAGCATACAGAAAAGCCTCTTGGACCTATACCCCAAACCCCACAGGAAGTTGGCCATTTTTTTTTTTAATTTTCACTTTCGGTTAATTTTTCTCCTTGTATTTGAACAAACTCCTCATAGGGGACTTATCAGATCTAATTCAAAATTGGACAGTACACTTAAAAAAATTTGCTGGTTAAAATTTGTGACTGTAGGTTGAAGGGCGTGTCCATGGTGTGCCGTCAAAGTTGGCCATTTTAAATTCCGTGGTCTTGTATTTGAACAAACTCCTCCTAGGGAATTTATCCGATCTGCTTCAAAATTGGTCAGTACAGTCAGAAAACTGTTGCTGATTAAAATTTTTACTATTTGTGACTGTACGTTGAAGGGCGTGCCCATGGCTTTTCGTCAAAGTTGGCCATTTTGAATTCCCTGGTCATTTTTTGCGTTGTATTTGAACAAACTCCTCATAGGGGACTTATCAAATCTACTTCAAAATTGGACAGTACACTTAAAAAATTAAAAGTTGTGCTATTTGCGACTGTACGTTGAAGGGCGTGTCTGTGGTGTGCCGTCAAAGTTGGCCATTTTGAATTCCATGTGACAATGTAGAGTTTTTTCGCTGGCTTTATTTGTTTGTAGAATTTAAGATTATATATTTTATTATATTTTAGACTTTCCTTTCATTTTATGTAAACTTATTAGCAGGTAGGCTCCAATCCTCAAAAGGGAACTATATTCAAAAAAATTTATTTTATTGTAAAAAAATAATATACACTAAATCCATTCCATACAATAGACTATTTGCTGCAGTAACACTAACACAGAGCATTACATACATGTGCTCTTACTGTATGTAAGTTTACTGGGGAGGTTGTTCACAGTTCCTGAGATTTAAAGGTCTGACATATTGGCAGGGATTATCCGTTTATTTAATTAATTACATTTCTCATCAACCAAGGCTTCTGCCAAAGCTTTATGTCACAATAACGGTAAAAGATGAGAAGCATGCAAACAATGGTGGATAATGGAAACAGATGTTCTCATCACCATTTAAAGATGTGTGATGTGTGACTTATATAAAGGACTTTTTAATCCATCCGTAATTCATTAGGTAAGTTTATTAGACTTATTTCAGCACTAGGGACTCTCTATGCTATGACTTTTTAAACAGCCTGCTACAGAATGAGACCCAGTATTGTGCCTCTCTCATTACATTAAGGTCATTTTCATTAGCATTTAAATGGGATTTACATTAACTGCATATTGTTATTTCTACACAAAGTGTCTTTCTTATAAAGAACATGCTTATGTAAGCCCATACGGGGCAATTACTTTGGTGGATCCCTAGTTTAGGGGTTCACAAACGTATATAAGGCTGCGGAAAAAGTAAATACTTTAATACAAATAAAACAAATCCATATCTTGTAATACAGGTATAACCCCATATTGTATATAAAAAATGTCTTTATTGTCATTCTTTTTTCATAATTTCTTAATCAGTCATTCGATGAGGGCACCTTTGTAAATCCACCTAACCTCAGCTAATATCTAATTGGGCAATTCGTTCAGACCATGGAGTTCAAGTTTTAAATTAAATGTGTCACCACTATTTCAATACCAATAAATCTAAAGGTTTCCATTTACCATGACCTCTGTCTTTATAATGTCATCCATATTGCCATAATGGATGGCTGCCTTGTGCTCTGCAAAGTTAAGGTTAAGATTTCTCTGTACATCATATCACAAGGGCATTTAGAAGACAGAACGCCATTTTTTAAAATTTACAGTCATAACAGGGTGTGTTATCATTTAAACTACTAGCTTCTAGGCCCATGGCTCTTGGGGATTTTTGTATTTTGAAAGTTCATTAATTATAATTTTATCCACCCTAAAATACATTTTAGAAGAATGTTGTATTAGATACAAATTTGATGGTTAGGTTTATTGCATTCTAAGGTTAACCTTATTGCTTGCAGATGTTTGAAGATATTGGCCTTATGAGATTGAATGGCTAATAGGCATTATTTAGCATTTGTGGTAGTCACCCTGTCAATCATTAAAAAAAAAAAAATAGATTATAATAATTGTGATATATACATAAAACATAATACAGGAACACAAAAAAAAAACATGTGCTTATAAAACTTACACTTGCTGCCACTAGGGGTGCTAGTCATTTAAAGGACCAGTGTATAGGATTTAGTGGCATCTGGCAGTGAAGTTGGTGATTGCAAGAAACTACAGTGGCTGCGAAACCCACAAAAATAGAGCCAGTGCTTGGTTTGTCCATTCTGGGCTACTGTAGAAACATGGTGGATGCCATTAGAGGACCCGCTCCCTCCGTAGCTATCACCAGCTCATTTAACACTAACAAAAACACTGTGATTCTTATGTTCAGGTGATTATACTCTAATCAACACAAAATTATGAACAGTATATTCCATTTCTGACAGTAGATCCTCCTAAATGTTACACACTGGATGTTGCCACTGGAAGATGGCTGTTGAAGGCAATAGAAAGTTTTGTGCCTCCAACTAGTGTGTCTCTGCTGCAACAATGCTTTTTGGGTTTGATACTGTAATAATTATCTGTGGTCAGGTAATAAGCAGAGCAAACACTATAAAAGATGGAATGTCAAGACATTTCAGTAGTGGTTGTGATTTTATGTAATGTAAAGCAAATACACAAAGTGAAAATGTACAAAGACGAAAGCCTATACTTATAGACACTTGAATTTTAGGGTATGATGCATAGAAACAGGAAATATGCATTTTACTAAAAGCATAACACTGAACCAGCTCGTGTAGGTGTAAATGTGGAAGTGTATCGCACTTGTCTTATTTTCATGGCAACAAGCACAGAGTGATGACTGACAGATTCACCAACTAATCATTTTGTGGTGCCTGTGTGTCAATGGTTTGTTTCATGTATAG